CTGTATTGTTAACTTAAATCTCCCAGTAAAACATGGCTATTTTCTTTTCATAAAGCCTATGTGTATATTACTAAGTTTAAGTTGAATTGTCACCAAGAATTTTCTTTTTCTTTTATGTTGTGTTGTTTGGGGGATGGTACATTTTTAAAAAAATTTCTTTCTGTGCTCTTTTCCAGCAGTTTGTAGCTGTAAGGTCAAGGAATTTTAAATACTTGTGTTGTAGTCTCTTAATGAATTTGTTTTTATCTGATTCTTTTGAATTACTACCTGCATTCGAGAGCACACGGAGAACTGAAAAATAAAACATTCATTCACAGAAAAAAAAACAACAAGAAACAGTACAAAATGGTACATAATTTTTTAGATATCTGGGTATTTGGTTTACTGTATTATTAAACATCTGCCTATAAACCAAAAGCACTGTTTTATTGATGTAAGTAAGGAAGCACAGATATGGAGAAACCCGAGAACGTGAAATAGTTCTGGAGGGGGGGGACTTATGAGAACAGGCACTAACCATGCCTGAGGGACGCAGGCAGCCTGTGTTCTTAGGTTTTCACCTGGCCCACTGGTGGCACATTCCTGGTCACAGGTGTCCTCACTCAAGCAACACAAGCAACATAACCAGACCCACAGAAAGAACCAGAGGGAACCAAGGTCCCCACAGAGCATGGCACGGTGCAGAAGAGGCTGAATGTCCCAGCACTATGGGGGATGCAGCCTCCCAGTGAACCTTCTCTCCTAGTCAGACAGAAAACAAGAAAGCAGGGCAGGTGTCCTGGCAGCCCGGACACGTGGACAGGAAAGGTCAAAGGGAAGGTGGCAGAGAGATGAGCTCAAGGAGGAGCATGGCACTTCATGTCGGCGCCTCCATGGCCCGAGCTCGGTGTCGCCTTCCACCTCTGCCACCCTCTCACTCCCCAGACGCCAGCAGACGGGTCTCACTCCCTGGCCTTCACAGTGTTCCACCACGTCCTTTCTTGGGTACCACAGGACAATCACCTGTCACAGGAAATTCAACGCAGGTACAAGGCTCTCATCTATTATACAGGCCAGATTAAAGTCTCATCAATTGTCCTAATAACATCCTTTATAAATCCAATGAGAAATAAAAATAAAACCCTAAACCTCCAATGGACTGAACAGACCCTTTCTAGGTCAAGGGGACCCCAGAGAAACCTTGAAAACTGAGCTTCTGGCCGGGATGGGATGGGAGGTCAGGCATACTTCAGTGTGTGCCCTCCTCATTAACCTTTTATTTGAATTATTTCCTAAGGAGTAAGCAGAAATCAGCACTGGAAAACAAGAAATGAACAACTCATTTTTTTATGGCCATTGGTCAATCATCTGAGGCCAAGACCAGACTCCCCTTTCCTTCTTTGCGTTTTGATGTGACAGCTCAGCAGCTTCACAAGGCATCCCTTCCTGAAAAGTGGCCACCATCTCTGGGCTGGTTTTGGCTGACGTGGAGGGCGCACAGTGAGGGTTTTTGTGACTGCTTCAGTTTTTGCCATCACAGGGCTGAAAATCCACCTTGGGATCATGCTAATACCATCATTTTTTGAATATGCAACCCATGAAGAGGCATGAAGCTCAATTATGCATGGATACGCTTTTCATTCATGAATACTCATGACTCCTCCTATAGTTTATTAAACATGTATACTTATTCAGCACGGATTCCTGTCTCACACTTCTCCCCTCGAAGTAACTCTTTCCACCTTCTGTCAGAGGCTACAGCTCCCAGCCTGTCAGAATGGCCACCCGGCAGGCCTTCCTCTAAAGACCTAATTTTCTAGTTGGGCCTTTAGAGAAACGAAGCTCTCCTTTTCAAATTCATAAGCCAGACTGAATATCTAGTTGACCCCCAGAACACACAGGGCCAACTACTACACTCAGTTGTCATGCTTCTCAAGTCTCCTTTGTTGGGGAACAATTTTCTAGTATTTTCTCCGTTTCTCATGATATTGATATTTTCAGTGGTCTTATAGAATGCCCTGAATTATGGATTTGTCTAATTTTTCCTCTGATTACATTCAAAGTATGCATTCCGGGCAAGAATACCATACACAGGGGCTGTCATCCGCTCTGCACACACGGTGTCAGGAAGTGTGTGATGCCAACTTGTCTCGGTGTTGGTGGTAAGCATATGGTGAGAAAGGTGCTGATCGAATTTCCTGATTGATCCCTGCAATGGTTCACACCAAACACTCTCCCCCAGTGGTTGTAGGATTGGTTGATGATCTTTTCCTGAAATAGTTATGACTGGGGTGATGCTGAGAAGATACAACTAGAAGCTGGCACACATTTTAATTAGGCCATTTCTTTCACATTTATGAGTGGAGGTTTTCCCGTAAAGAGGAGCCTCCCTTCTGTCAAGCCTCCTTTCCCAGCATCAGCTGCACTTGAGGTTTCTCATCTCGCTTGCTGTGTCCTAACCCATCCTTGCCGCAGCCCACATTGATGAGGCACAGATGGTCCAAACTTGCTCCCTTCAACCTGCCTCCTGGGCTCTTACCTCTACTTTTTGATGTGACTATACCACTTTTAAGTGATTTTAATGGATATTTTATGTATCACCTCCATCTCAGAAAAACAAACAATGAAATAGAATTTGTTATTGCGGCTGAAGGCATCTCCAGTTGTCTCCCATTCCTAGTTTCAATAGCCATCCACAGATAATGGGCTCTGTTCTGACTTATGTAAACTGAAAATAAAATTCCAAGACCTCTCAGATGGCTGCATGGACCCCCTCTCACTCAAGTGCATTCCCAAGTAAAACTGAAAAATTAGTTTAGGCCATGATGGGAAGAGGGGGTCAGACATGCATCATTATACCCTCCTCCCTTTGGAATTCAGAAAAAACTGACCAGCTTTAACATTAAAACAGAGGTCTTGGGCCGGGCGTGGTGGCTCACACCTGCAATCCAAGCCCTTTGGAGGCCAAGGCGGGCAGATCACCTGAGGTCGGGAGTTCAAGGCCAGCCTGACCAACATGGTGAAACCCGGTCTTTAAAAAAGAAAAGAAAAAAAAAAAAAAAACAGAGATCTTAGGACTGACAAAACATACTCTTTGTAGCAATAAAATACCAAATTCCAACTTGACTGTAGTATAGCATCTGTGACAGATAGCAGGTCTTGAAAGAAGCATTTTACCCGAAAATATACTCCTTTGATGGATTTTGAAATGGCCCTGCAAAACCAGCTCTTGTGGGGGTAAATTTGCATTCTGTAGAGAATCCCCTTCCTGTCCCAGGTCTTTCCCTGATCCAGAAGAGAATTCACTAAAAGTCTGGCACCTTTTAAGGTCTGATAAGAGACATTTACCATCTATTCTCTCTGAAGCCTGCTATCTGGAGGCTTCATCTGCATGATTAACCTCGGCCTTCACAACCTCTGATCTTAACGCAGACATTCCTTTCTACTGATTCCAGGTCTTCAGGAAACAACTTAACTCTTTCAACCAGTTGACCACCAGAAAATCTTTAACCCACCTATGACCTGGAAGCCCCCACTTCGAGTTGTCCTGCCTTTCTCAACCAAACCAATATACACCTATGTGTATTGATTGATATATGCCTGTAACTGCTGTCCCCCTAAAATGGACAATATTAAGCTATAAACCACCTTGGCACATGTTCTCAGGACCATCTGGGGGTGTATCACAGGCCTCAGTCACTCACATTTGGCTCAGAATAAACCCCTTTAAATATTTTACAGAATTTGACTCTGTTTGTTGACACTGAGGGTGGGGAGTGAAAGGGCAAGGAGCAAGCACCCCACCCACCTGCTCCTGGCTCTTTAGAACCTTCAGCACCCTAAAGCTGAACTTGTCCCTGCTGGCCTTGTTGTACTCCTTCATGGCGAACCAGAGTGCCTGCTGCACATAGACGTAGTTTTCAGGGATATCTTGGAATGTCCTCACCATCTTCACTGAGCCCCAGGCATGGACTCCTCTGGACACAAGGGCCACAGTGGCCACCAGCAGCAGCAGGGCCTGGCAGAGCCTGACCATGGCGCCTCAGCCAAGGATCACAGGCCAGGCGCCATCTATCCTTTCAGATGCAGAGATGCTGACACCCCGGCTCCTCTTGGCACTGCTGATTAAAAGGAAGGAACTTCGTTAACACAGTGGTGATATGTAATAGGATTAGAAACATACATTTGGTCTTAACCCCAGGTTTCTGGCAGGAAGCACCTAAAACCCTTGCAATCCCCTGAGTGGTTGGGATGTGACAGGAGCAACTCAGGGTTGAAAAGGGTGATTTCTAATATACCCTTTTCAACCCCACCCGAGTGTATGCTAATGAGGTGACTCCTCATGGGTCCTCTCAGCCCCACCCTCCACATCCAGGGAGGAAAGAGGGGCCGAAGATTGAGTCAATCACCAACAACTGGTGAATTAATCAACCATGCCTATGAAATGGAGCTTCCATGAAAGCCTCGGAAGGAGAGGGCTGAGAGAGTTTCTTAGGCACTTCATGTGTCTTATGTAATCACTGCCATCCCCCATGGGGGCCGTTTAGTGAGTAACCCCTTTATGAAGGAGGAAAATGGCACTCATCTAGAGGTCAAGAGAGCACCTAAGCCTGCTTGATGGAAGCATCCGCTCTTTCACTCAGGCCCTGCCCTTCCCCCCACCTCGTAACCTGCCTCAGTCTAAGAGATGCACACATGTAGATAACAGCCTGGAATGCACATTGGCTTTTGAGGATATCCAGTTCTACTACAGAATATAAATGAGCATGTAGTTTGTAAGACAGGCAAACCAGTTAAGGTGCTTTAAGTATAGAGAGTGAGCAAATACAAACGTACGCAGAAGTCGTAAGTTGTGTGAATGAAAGGTGTGTGGAAGTAGTGTCTATCTAAGTTGAACACAGAATGTGATGGCAAAACTAAGAGGCACATGATATCCATCAGCGCCAAACATAAGCGAGATACACATAGCCAGAAGACTCATGAGATCTTAATCTGGCCACCCTCTGTTGACGTCACTCTGGCACCCTATATGCTCTCTCCTAGAAATGCAAATCAAGTCCTCAGCTGTGCAGGAGGCTCATCAGCTGGGCGGGGCAGCCCTGCCTGCATCTGTTTATAAACTAGTATGTGTGACTGACAAGCACTGTCCATCTCCAGGACTCTTGCCCAAGTGTCCACCATGGTCCCCCAACCCTATCATCAGCAGGGAGCTGATGTGGCTGAGAGAGACGGGAGCTGTGAACATGGAGGACCCAGGGCCAGGCGGGGGTCTCCTCACCGTCACCCCACTTCCCTGTGTTTTAAGCGCATTGACCTGTCCACCCACTTCGCGCTTCTTATTTTACACTGATCTGACACTGGTGGGCTTCCAGAAGCTCACTCTGACAAGTAAGCCTTTCTGCTCCACGGTCTCTGGATCACCCTCCAGGGTGGGCTTGGAGGCCACTCTGGTACACACACCACAGCTACACCATGGGCCCACCTCAGATCCAAGTTCTTCGCCGCGGTCCTGGCTGCCGGTCCTTGAGCCAACCGTCCCAACTGTCCCCTTCTTCCGGAGGACTTGAGCTAGGTGCTAGCCACCCCTTGGCTGTTCTCTGCCCCCAGCACACTCAGTTCATGCCCCTATGCCTGGTCAGAGTGTCTGCTGGGGTCTGCACTCCAGGTGCTTCTGTTCTGTGGCTCCACTCCCCATCCAGGTGGTCACACCCGAGGCCCCTTTGTGAGGTCAGCCCAGCCCCTCTGATGCTGCTCAAGTGAAGGGCGCCTCTGACCACTGGCAACCAAGTCCCTCACCCTTGTCCCACACCTGCTGACTTTCTAAACTTCTGTGCTCTGGACTGTGCTAGGTACACGTGACAGCACCTCAATGGCCACGTCTTTCAGAGCGCCATTATGCGATGCCACGGTCTGAGAAGCAGAAGGAACCACCAAAGAGCCAGGCTCAAGGACTTTGGGACTAACAGGTCTTCGGGAAGGTGGCTGGCCAGGAGCTAAGGGTCCACCAGCTGACAAGAGCTGCCACCAGACACGCCAGGTAAAAGGTGTCAGATGTCAATGGCCATGCCGGCCTAAGCTATCTCTGTGGAGTGAACAGTGTAGCCCAGAAGAGCCAGAACAGATGCCTCCCACCTGTCAGCCCTGTCGTCTCCCATCTTGTCACCTGTCCCAGGTAAGCATTCCTGATTCTGCTTCCGTGGGACACAGTTCTTTCCGCTGTTTGTGATCTCAGGACCTGCCACCTATCTGCCAAGCCAGGTTCCGTGGAGGAGTAGAACTCCATCCTACTCTGCATTTAGGGCTTGCCTAGGTGACAGTAGGGGAGCTCCCAAGAACTCAAAAGTCTGGAAATTAATATTTCTCTTTGCAAGATAAAATACAGATCAGCCCAAAGCACATCAGACCTGAGATCCAATTCCAAACAGAAAGTCAGGCCTGAGAATCGCTGGGTTAAATGTTCAAGTGTTTGAAACTGAATTGCATGCTCAACTAGAGAGCCATTTCTAAGAAGATACAACACACAGAGGCCAACGGAAAAGAATAATAAATCTGGCTACACATTTTGTATAGTGTGCACACACGCATAAACACACATACCCCCACACACACACCACAAAGACCGAAAAGGAGAGAGAACACAGAATAAGTCATTTAGAACCTATTTGGTAAAGGCCTAAATACTCTTTTATGGAAACAGCACTTTAAAAGACAGAAGAAAAAGACAATTTCCTCAATTGTCTTGGCTCAAAGCGAACCAAGAATTCAAGCGGACAACCTACCCACAAGGAATTCATTTCCCCTCTTGGCCGCACATCAATTGCCTGAAAACAGCTGGCCCATGGTGACACGTCACTCCAACTACCATACCGATCCACCTACTAGCTGATGTCTTGTGTCCAAAGCAGAACACAAGTGTCCACGGGAGGTTACACGCAGACAGCCAAGAGACGGCTGTGTCCTCCACCCCGCGTTGCACAGGGGAGGGGCCTGGTTAAAGGAAGAGGAGGGAGGCGGTGTTTGCCGAGTTCTGTGCTTGGTGTGGACCCGCAGCCTGCAAGGGAACCAGAACCCTCCTGGGCTCCTTCAGGGCTGGGGGGTGGGCCCCTTAGAGGTCCCAGGGCCTTTGCGTGGGCCCCAAGGCATAGGGACAGGAGGCAGCCCTTCTCACCTCTTGGCATAGCTCCTCCTTCCTGTCAATGTTCACATCACCAAACACGCTCTAAGGTGGGGTCATCAGGACCACAGGTGTTGGTGGCTCCAGGAACTATTGCCTCATAGAAAGCATTTTACTTTGCTCATGAATCAGGATAACCAGGATTTTAGGAAGGGCCCAGATAGGAAAGTCCTAGGAGGTGTAGGCCAGGAGCAGCTGGGACCACCATCATCCACAGCACGAATGGGCTCCCTGATAATGAGGAAGGGGTTTTATAATGGATTTATCCAGAGGTGATTCACACACTGTAGGACTCACCTGTTTAAGCGTACAAGTCAATGACTTTAGTATATTCACAGAATTTCAGAGCCAACCACAATCAATTTTACAACATTTTTTGTTACCCTAAAAAGAAACCTCAAATTTTTTAGTCTTTCTATGTCAATTTCCCCATCCCCTTTCAGCCCTAGGCAGCCACTAATGTGCTTTCTCCGCAGATGTCCCTCTTCTGCGCATTGCATGTAAATGGAATCGTGGTGTGTTATCCTGTGTCCGGATTCTCTCACTGAGCATGCTTCCAAGGTTCCTCCAGGCTGTAGCCTATATTGCTACTTATTATTTTATTACAAATAATAACCTGCTGTCCAGATATACCATATTTTATTTATCCATTAATGAGAAGTAGAGTTATTTTGGCTATTGTTTTGGCTTTTGGGCTGTTTTTAATAAATACTGTTACGATCATTCATGTTCAGACTTTCATGTGGACATATGTTTTTCTGTCTCTTGAGTATATACCTGAAAGTAGAATTATTGGGTCATATAATAACAGTATGATAATTTTGAGAAACTGCCAGATGGCTTTCCAAAGTAGTTGCATCATTTTGCATTCCCATCAGCAGTGTACGAGGGCTCCAATTTCTCTGTGTCCTTGCCAACACTTGATACCTGTCTTTTATATTATAGTTATGCTAGTGGGTGTGGGTGAGAAAAGGTGGTAAGAATGTGACAAACGTGACACAGGAAATTTTAATTTTCATAATATCGAAGAGCTCTCATGAGAAAATTGTTTAAAAAGACAAAATATCCAATAGAAAATCTGAGGGAAAGTCATGAACACAAATCACAAGAAAATAAATATAAATGTCTCTGCTACTCATGTGAGAATATGGTTATGCTCTTCCACAGTAAAAATTTAACCCAACAAGGAAATGCCACTGTTCTCTTACACATTGGAAAAAAGTTAAACACAATAACAATGCTGGATAGATACGTGACCTTCCTGCCATGTTGGCAGAGTGGGCATTCAAAAGTCCTTGTTAGTAGCAATTTAGCAATCTGTTAAACATTTAAAGATTACATGATCGTCAACACAATGTTCTGGATCTAGGATTTTAATCCCACAGAAATATTTGCCTACGTGCACAAAGTTGGCTGAAAAATTACTCACTGCAACATAGTTTCTAAGAGTAAAAAAAAAAAAAAAAAAAAATGAGAGAAACAGCCCAAACATATATCAATAATAGACTTATTTATTTATTTATTTATTTATTTTCGTAGCAATGGGGTCTCGCTATGTTGCCCGGACTGGTCTCAAACACCTGAACTCGAGCTATATCCTCCAGCCTCAGCCTCCCAACATGCTGGGATTACAGGCGTGAGCCACCACACTCAGCCCAATAGTAAATTTTAAATACAATGTTTAGTATTTGTGAAGTGAGATTTCAAACGACCACCAGCATGTGTGCGTGCCCTGAAAGGAGAGAAATCAGACATATATGAAATGTTATCAGTGAACTGTGAAATGCTAAGCAGGGAAGTATCTGGATTTGCTAAGAATGCAGTGATTTCTTAGGGTCCACGAAGGGACATCTGGGTATTTC